CCCCCCCCGCAAAGGAGAAGCATGTGGATTAAAAAGGACTCACCCAGCCCAGACTCAGTTGGGGAAGTCTTCCTTGGAGCGAGGGCCCCTCCTCCCCCTATGCTGTTCTAGAAAAATTGCTTTCAGGGTAGATCAAGAGACCACTGGCCTGTGCACCACCCAGCAGCCCCAGAGCAGTGCGGAAGCCAGTCCAGTCTCCATGGAAACAGCTCCTCCCCAGAGGTGGTCCTGGGAGACCTGGCTTTAGAATCAGCACAGAGCCTACCTGCTTGGGGCCTCATGGGGGGGTGGGCAGGGGGGAGGGGGGAAGAGATGCTGCCCATTCTGGAGCGTGTAGCAACAGATCTGAGCAGAACTGGGGGTTCCCCCAAGGGGTCCTGAGAGGGATGCTGGGTGGACTGGAGGAGAGCCAATTCCTACATCCACTTCTGTCTTTGGCAGTACCATTTCCTCCCCGCGTCTCGGCTGTTCCTTCAGTGTGGGGGAAGAAGCAAGCAGGGAGAGGAAGGTGACCTACTCTTCACATCCCACAGGATATCTTTCTCGGGAGGGGCGGCAAAGAGGATGTAGAGGCGAATAGTGTCGATCCCGTACTGGGCGACCACTTCCTTGGGGTCCACGCCGTTGTGTTTGGACTTGCTCATCTTCTCCCACGTCACCTCTAACTTCTCTCTCGTTTGGGCGTGCACAGGAACAGAACCTACAAGAATATGTCGGAATGAGCCTGTAATACTAACCATCTCGGGGGTGATGGGATGATTGCCTTTGGAAGCCAGCCTGGGCATTCAAAGTTCAAAAAACCTCATCTCAACTAAAGGCTGGGTGTGGCGGCGCATGCCTGTCATCCCAGCTATGGGGCAAACACAATGGGCTGGTGCAGTGGTGTGCAGCCGTCATCCCCACTGACAAGAGGAAGGACGAGAAAGATCGTAACCAAAGTGAGACTCAACCTCGAAAACCATCCATAAGAAATGGGGCTGGAGGTGTGGCTCACGTGATAGAGCACTTGACTGGCAAGTGCAAGGCCCTGAGTTCAAGTCCCAGTACTGTAAAAACAAAAGCAAAAAATACAAAGGAGGGCTGGGAAGGTGGCTTAGTGGTAGAGTGCTTGCCTAGCATGCATGAAGCCCTGGGTTCCACTCCTCAGTACCACATACACAGAAAAAGCCGGAAAGAAAAATGCCTTTTGAAGAACTGTAGGAATTCGCTCAATATACTTCTCTCCCTGGATGGTTTGTTGTACAATTTTATCTCATACAATAGTTTGTGATGCTAGAGATTGAACCTAGGGCCTCACATGTTAAGACAAGTGCTCTACCACTGAGCTACATCCCAAATGATTTCCTAATTTATTTTTGTGCCAGTCTTGGGGCTTGAACTCTGGGCCTGGGCGCTGTCCCTCAGATCTTCAGCTCAAGGCTAGCGCTCTACCACTTGAGCCACAGCACCACTTCCAGTTTTCTGAGTGGTTTATTGGAGATCAGAGTCTCACGGCCCTTCCTGCCTGGGCTGGCTTTGAACCATGATCCTCAGATCTCAGCCTCCTGGGTAGCTAGGATGATAGGCGCCCGGCTCCATCAGCATTTTTTTAAATTCAAGGTCCAATTTATGTGCCTAACAGTCCACACTGTGGGAGAGGCATACTCATGGGGCCGACAGATGACTTGATGGGGTAGAAGGGAAGGTTGGCTGTGGCTGGCCGGGGCTGGCGTGGAGAGGTAGACAGAGAGTGCTGGCCAGGGCCCGTGCATGCAAGCAGACAGATCCCCCTGGGGGTTTCCAGCCCGGCCTTCGCTTGCGCCTGCCCTCACAGCCCAGCCCTTGTCACCTGTGAAGTCTACCTCCTCTCTCTGCAGGTACTGTCCCGATGGCAAGCGGAAGGTCTGCCCCTTGATGAGGCCTTGGGCCAGTAGCTTGTGAAATGGTTCTCTAGAGAAAAGAGTAAACAGGGGGAAAAAAAGTAGATGAGCAGAGGTAGCAATAAAAAAAAGGTCCATGGGGTTGGAGGTGTGGTTCAGGAGGTATAGCACCAGCCAAGAAGTACAAAGCATCAGATCTGGAATTCAAGTCCCAGTCTCAAACAAAAAAGGAAGACGATGAGGAGGAGGAAGAAAAGAGAAGGAAGGAGAAAGGAAGGAAGAGGAGAAGGAAGAGGAGGAGGAGAAGGAGGAAGGAGAAGGAGGAGAAGGCTGGTCACTGGTGGCTCATGCCTGTCATCCTAGATACTCAGGAGGCTGAGATCTGAGGATCGAGGTTCAAAGCCAGCCTGGGCAGGAGAGCCCGTGAGACTCTTATCTCCAACAAACCACTAGAAAACTGAAAGTGGTGGTGACTCAAAGTGGTAGAATGTTAGCCTTGAGCAAAAGAAGCTCAGGGACAGTGCCCAGGCCCTGAGTTCAAGCCCCAGGACCGACAGAAAAATCAATTGAAACATAAAAAAATAAAAGAAGTTGAGGACCAGCCTAGACAACACAGTGAGGCTTGATCTTAAACAACACAACCCAATGGGCCTGTGGAGCTGAAATCAGGTCTTGGTAGTTCTCAAATGACCACTGCTGCCACCTTCTGGTGGGTGCAGAATTGCAACCCCCAGCTGTCACTTTACTAGCACATAAAGGCTCTGCCTGCTCATTGAGCGTGCATCTGTGCGTCAATTTTTGTATGGGTATTGTGTTGGGTATAGACTAACTCCTCAAAGGAAAGCTGAAGGTAATCGAGGTCATTCAAAACCAGCTCGAGTAGTAGGAATAAGAGAGGAGGCTCCAGAGATGTCAGAGGCCTGGGCTGGCAGACTTAGAACCTAAGCTGGCTATGACAGTGACTGCCAAGTTTGTTGCTCATATTCACAACCAACGAAGGACTACTGATGAATTAGTCTGTTCATTCATTCACTCAACAGATGGCACTTAGGAACAAGCTCCTCTCAGCAACCGAGCTACTCATTCATCTTCCTGTTGAAGAACAGAAACCATTATTGGTTTATATCAAGGGGTTAAACTCATCTGATTTAACCAAAGGATCACTAAGGATGCCTAAATTACCCAGGAGGATGAGATCCGAGGATCATGTTTCGAAGCCAGTCCAGGCAGGGTCGTCTATGAAGACTCTTATCTCCAATGAACCACCAAAAAGCAGGAAGTGGAGCTGTGGCTGAAGTGGTGGAGCTCCAGCCTTGGGTGGGAAAACTAAGGGATACCACCCAGGCCCCAAGTTCAAGCCCCAGTATCAAAACACGTATGTCATTTTTCGGCTCCATATAGCTCTGATAACCTGCTTTATGTTTGTGTCTGTGAACTGAGCTGTGTGGTAAAATAGCACAAGTGCTCACCTGTGTTTGACCATTTTTTGATCGTGGCAAAAATGACTGAAGAACCTTGCATAGAACAAGTGCATGACAGCATGCTCTTTTCCTCCAATGTACAAATCCACTGGCATCCAGTAGTCTGCCAACGCCCGGCTGAAGGGTCTAGAAGAGAGTGGAACGGGCTCTTTACAACCTGCTCTGACATAATCGCAGAACTTAAGACAGATGTACTACAGTTCTGCAGAGGCTCTGGAATGAATTCTGCCAGGAAAAAAAAAGTGATTTTTCTGAAGAGTCAGATCTGGTTCATTTATGAAATATATAAAAATGGCTATAGAAGATGTGCTCTAAAAACTGAGATTTTTTAAAGATAAAATAAGAACCAAGGGCTGGGAAGGTGGCTCAGTGGTAGAGCGCTTGCCTTGCATGCATGAGGCCCTGGGTTTGACTCCTCAGCACCACATAAGCAAAAAGAAAAAAGCTGGAAGTGGCACTGTGGCTCAAGTGGTAGAGCGCTCGCCTTGAGCTGAAGAACTGAGGGACAGCGCCCAGGCCCAGAGTTCAGGCCCCATGACTGAACCCAAAAAAAAAACAAACAAAACAAAAAAATAAGAACCAAAAAAAAAAAAAGGCATCTCAGTAGCACGGGTATTATGCATGTATTATGATATGTATTTTAATATGCCAATTTAATTTTGAAGATTAGGACAACCAAGACTTTGGCATTCTTTCCCAGTAGGGGGCACTGTAGGGTTTCAAATGTAGAACCAATATGTAGCTACAAAGAGGTCTTTCATTTTTGTATGGTACTGGGGCTTGAACTCAGGACCTAGCTGTTGCCATTGTTTTTTAGTCTGGTCGTGGGGCCTGAACTCTGGGCCTGGGTACTGTCCCTCAGCTCTTCAGCTCAAGGCTAGTGCTCTACCACTTGAGCCACAGCGCCACTTCTGGCTTTTTCCTTTTTGCTTATGTGGTGCTGAGGAATCGAACCCAGGGCCTCATGCATTCAAGGCAAGCGCTCTACCACTGAGCCATCTTCCCAGCCCTCGGGATTTTTTGTTGTTGTTGTTGTTCAAGGCTAGCGCTCTACCACTCGATCCCCATTCCCAGCCTCACAACCTTACTTTTTAAAGTGGCTTTAAGGTCTGAATATAAAGCATATGTAGAAGCCAGGCGCTAGTGGCTCACACCTGTAACCCTAGCTACTCAGGGGGCTGAAATCTGAGGATCATGGTTCAAGGCCAGTCTGGGCAGGAAAGTCCATGAGACTCTTATCTCCAATAAAAACCACTAGAAAACCGGAAGTGCCACTGTGGCTCAAAGTGGTAGAGCGCTAGCCTTAAGTGAAAGAGTTGATGGACAGGGCCTGGGTTCAAGCCCCACGATGAACAAAAATATAAAATAAACCATAGAAGCCTAACTAACATAAAACAAACCAGGAACTCTCTCACCTACCAGATATTTCATAGCTAACAGACACAATAAAAACAGACTTCATACTTTCCTGACTGGGGTAGTTTCCAAACCAAGATCTTTGTATCTCAGCCTCCCAAGTAGCGAGGATTACAGGCTTGAGCCACCAGTACCCAGCTCCTTGAGCCTTTTTTGTTCAAGGCTAGCCCTCTACCACTTGAGCCACAGTTCCACTTATGGCTTTTTTTTTTTTTTTTTTTGGTGAGTAATTGGAGATTACACAGATTTTCCTGCCCAGGCGGGCTTCAGATCATGATCCTCAAACCTCAGCCTCCTAAATGGCTGGGTGAAATGGATATGCTCATTTGGGTCTTTCCAAAGGCCTGGTTGAGGCCTTTGGAGCCATGATATGGTCTAAGGATCCTCCATAGCAGCCTTCCCTTCCCCCCAACCTTTTCCTGCACCTGCTGCACCAGACCAAGGTCTA